ACACACACACACACAAACTGTGTGTGTTTTATTTGAAATATCAAACAAACATGATATCATGATATACCCAGTAGTAGTCATGTCATATCATTCTTATTATGGATTCTGGAGATTTTTTTTCATTCTCTCTCTCTCTCTCACTCTCTCACATTTATCCTGTGGAAAAAATTCTGAATCCATTCTCCAAGTGGTGATTGTATCCAGGCACGAAAATCAAAAAGAATTTTTTTGCACATAGTGAAGTAGTTAGTGTGCCCAAGTCACATTGTGTGTGATTGCATCCATAATAATCATAATCATTTTTCTAAACAATTTCAGTTCCTAGGACCTAGTAATAGGAATATAGCTCTTCATAATTGACAATGATTATGATGATGATGATGATGATTGCTTACATTGTTGTAGCTACAATTTGTAGTTCAACAACAACAACAACAACAACAACAACAATGAAGCCAAAGAAGAGAGAAAGAAAAAAAAAACGACATTCCATTTCAGTTGTTTCAATTGTAAGTGAATGAATGAATGAATGAAAAAAAAGTTCATTTTCCATCATCATCGTACATGCATGGTTTCAATACAGAATACACACAGAACAAAAAAAAAATTCATACCGTTTTCATTTTATTATTATGATTCTTCTTCATTCTGTGTGTGTGTGTGTGTGTATTATTAAATCGTATCGTATCGTAGTAAAAAAAAAATCCATGGGCAAGTCACCACCACCATCATATGAATGGTGGTGGTGGTGGTGGTGGATCATCAAAAGAATAGGAATCACCACACAACCACCATCATATGAATGGTGGTGGTGGTGAATGGGTGAATGTAATGATATTTTGAATAATCAATCAATGAAACTAAATAAAAAAAAAAAGAAAAACCAACGGCCCTGGATCATCAAAAGAATAGGAATCCGAGCAACCAAAAAAAAATTCTCTTTTTCCTTGGAATCCAGATGACAACTACACAACAACAACAACAACAAATACTGAAAATCAATGAAACACACAAATGTAAATGGATTGATATTCAAATGTCTGTTTTTTTTAATCAAATTTTCAAAATTGAAAAACTAAAAATCCAACTCAAATGGTCAATTCGTTCGATAAATAAATTTTCATTAAACATTTAATTGAAAATCGAACCAAATTGACCATCGCATTCATGTATTCATGTCACAATCCTGAATGAATGAAATGTAAATTTTATTTTACAATCAAAAATGGACAATGGACCAAAAAAAATAGGCACACACACACAGAGAAAAAAAATCACATCATTGAATGGGTGAATGTAATGATATTTTGAATAATCAATCAATGAAACTAAATAAAAAAAAAATCGAATCATAAAACTGAAGAAATAAAATCTACAAACACACACACACACACAGACACACAGACGTACACAACACGATAAATCGATTCGATCAATTGACAATCATAAATTGTAGAATTGTGTGTGTGTGTGTAAAAAAAACTCTACATTTACAAAACACTTTTAATGATGATGATGATGATGATGATCTTTGAGAAATGATAATAATCATGATAGCTAGATAGACAGGATAATAAATTACATGATCTAGAAACGAAAATGGCAAAAAAAAAATTATTATTGAACAAAACGTTATCATTAAGTCAATTATGACAACAGCAGCAACAAATCGAATTCTTCAAAAGGAAAGAAAAGTGTTAATAACTACCATAATAATAATCATCATCATCATCATCATCAAAATCATTTCAAAATAACACCCAATTTGACTTTTCATCCATTTTTGTAGTGCATTTCATTCGTTTTTTTTTTTTTTTGTTCATCAGAATAAATTGCCATTTTTTTGTTCTCATTCTGTTTCTGTTATTTTTTTTTTTTCTATCAAAATGAAAAAGAGAAAGAGAAAAAGAAAAACGAAATTGAAATAATCATCGATTCGTATCGTATCAATTATTAGATTCCATCACCATCATCATCATCTGATCATCATCGTCAATGATCAATGGTTAGATAAAGTTATTTCCGGAGAAATCATTTTTCTTCTTTTCTGAAACAAAAAAAAATTTTCAACTTTAAAAAATCATCTTTAAAATGAATTCATGAAAAATAAAAATTTGGAACAAGGCTGACAATGGGCGTCAAAAAAAATCATCACCATCATCATCATGTGATTGAAAATCTAATGGAATTCAGCGAAAAAAAAATGAATTCAACGAATTTCAAATGGACAAAAATAGAATCCATGATGTATTTCTATGTGCCGTTTTTTTTTGTTTGCTGTAAGATGAAAATTTTCCATTTTCAATTGTCACCAATTTGAATGGACAAAATTGAATCAGAATTAAGACGAGAGCGAAAAAAAAATGTTGCTGATTGATTTTCAAGAAAGAACCAAAAAAAAAAAAAAAAAAAATGAATTGCTCAATGTTCGGGTGTGTATGTTGAAGAAAATATAAGAAAAAAAAATGGTGGTGGATAGTAGTAAAATCCCAAATGAATCGGTACTGTTTTTCTGGGTCGGGCGTCATTTGTTGTCAAAGCTAACGAATACATCACCACCACCACCACCATTATACAGACATAAAAAAACCTATTTTAATTATCCACAGACACAAACAAACCAAAAACTCTACAACAAACAACAATAATAAGGATCTAAAAATCGTAGAAAATTTATTATATGGACAGCTTGAAAATAATGAAACAAAAATGGGAAAAGGAAACCAAGAAGAACTAAACGAAAAAAAAAAAAACCAAAATAAAAGACCAAAAATGATTGAGAAAATTAATTGTACACCATATATTAACCTAAACTAATATGTAGAGCTGCTGAAAACATTTTGTTATAAAATATCCATGTGTTTCGGCAACAAGAATTTGGCATTAAACATCTTTTCTTCGCACTATCAATTCTGGTTCTGGTGTGGTTTTTTTTTTGCAATAAAATTTTGAAAAAAAATTCAATTAAAAATTCAATCAATTAATTAATTAATTAATTAATTAAAACAACATCAAGACATCATCATTATTGTTCATTGAAAAAAAGTGTGTCAAAAATTGTGTTTTATGTGCGGTTTTTTTTTGTTTCATATTGATCCAATCAAATTGTGATTATCTCTATCTATTAAAAACAATTTGATCGATCAATCAATCAATCAATCAATACAACACTATTTATTGGATTCATATAATCATCGATCGATTTCCGGTCGATATGTGTTTGTTTTTTGTTTGTTTTCGATCGACAAATTTACACATGCATTTGATATAAGTTAAAACCAAGATGTAAATTTTTTTTTTGGGATTATCATATAATCTCGGTTCCATCATCAAAATAAATTAGCCGAACAAGATGATATGATGAGAAAAAAGTCATTTTCTTACATTGAGAAAAAAAAGATGATATCCACATAGCCGGATAAAATGAGTGGATTAAAAAGCCCTAAAGGCTTACTTATTAAGTGTTTACGAAAAAAAAATGGAAAAATTTTTTTTTCTTTTGGTCGATAAAGAAAAAAGATAAGGCAAAACAGGCAGAAAAAAATCGGATTAAACAACTCAAAGAAAGATGTGTCCAGCCATCATTTCCATATACATAAATTCCGTATAAATTATCAATTATCATCCAGTAAAAAGAGAGAGAGAGAGAAAGAAATTAATTTTTCTGTGCAACCAATTTAACATCGAAGATTGTTGGAACAAAATTAATTTAGGGTTACCATAATTTTTTTTTCTAATCAGGTCAACGAGAAAAGATGGAAAAAAGTAGCCAAAAAAAAACAAAAGAAAATTCCAATGAATAACAGCTGTTAACAATATATAATTATGTTTGGCAATTAGAATATTCAATAAGAATCGATAATTTCACAATATATATTCTTGATTCAAATTGTTCATTAATCCAATTTTGTTCATTCATGTTAATCCAATGAATTTAAACTGTTGCCATGTAAACAATTTAGGAATAAATCATATAAAATTGTGTAAAATGTTCACAACTTGGAATCAACTTTGCTTATCACATCAAAAAAAAACTCACTCTCTACTTTATATAATAAAAAACTATTGAATCATATCAATCAATCAACCAATCAATCAATCGATCATAATGGAAGAAAAAAAATCCGTCTCTGTCACCAAAAGCCAAACAGTTGAAACCACTGATGATGATTGCATTATTACAACAACTGTAACCAATGTTAATGTTGAATATGAAATTGAAGTTGATGATGAATTAATGGAACAATTAACTAATCAATATGGTGAATGTGATATTGAAACTATTATTCAAGGACGTGCAATTATGGCTTCTCGTAGTATTGTCGATACTGATGCCGATGTTGCTGCTACTGATACTACTACTGATACTGCTGCTGTTAATGCTATTGCTAATGCTGCTAATGATGCTGATCATATTGCAATTGAAATGAATGATGATTTGAATGATACAAACAATAATGATCAACAAAAAAGTTATATTGAACGTTACCAAGAAATGGATTTTAGTGATGAATATGATGATTTTGTTATCATAAGTCAAATTGAAGATCCACCAACAACAACAACAACAACAACAACAACAGAATAATAATGCTGATGGCAATGATAAAAAATTGATTATAAAAAATTATGAACAAAAACCATGGTGGCATATTGATAATTTTTCGGATATATTTGAAACTGTGTTTGCATTCTGTTTTTATTTAATCTTGATTATCATTGAGCTTTTCTGGTCATTGATTAGAAAAGTACGCAATTAACAACATTATCGAATACAATTTTTATATGAAAAAAAAATCATGGCTATAAAGAGAGTGATTCTAATGAAGAGTGTTCATCATGTTTAAGAAGAAAAGAATCATTGAATCTTAATATACTTTAATCTATGTTTTTAAATATTCAGAATTTTTATTATTATTAAAATTCTTTAATTATTGCTTAATTGTCATTGCACGCGCAATCAATCAATCATTAATTCATTAACCACCACCAACACCTACCTGGATTCCATAATCGAATCGGATGATGAAAATTGTGGATTATTCAGATTATTATTTTGATGTACAATATCTATATTTTTGTGTGATTAGAAAAAAATCAGAGAAAAAATCAATTTTTTCAGGTAAAAAAAAAACTTACAAGTTTTCACCACTAATACACCGGTCGATTCAATAGTCATGAAACCATTGGTGGCTTCACATTTATAATAGCCAGAATCATGTGTATCCAAACGTTTGATAACCAAACGTGCCCTAATACGATCTGGTTGTATTTTTGTTGATTTTGTTGTTATCTTTCCTGGTTCAATTTCAATTGGTGCTTCATTTTTATACCAAAATACTTTTAATTTTGGTATACCACTGAATTCACATTTTAATCGTACATCTTCACCACTTTCTTTTGTTAAATTTGTCAATGGTTTTTCTATACGTAGATAATATTGTGTACCTATGACGAGATAAATTAATATTGATTATATATCATTATGTATTTATTTATTTTGTTTTTTTTTTATATTACCATTTTCCGAAATATTGGGCGTTGGCGGTGTCGATGAATGTTCATTATCATCACTGTTTATATTATATAATAATATTTGAACAAAATAAAACAAAAATTAAACTCATAGAATCGTCTAGAATATGGTGAAAATACACTTACTAGGACAAATCATCATTCAAATCAAAATCTTCGTCCATATCTTCCGGGTCAGCTTCATCAACATCGGCCGGTTCCGGTGGTGAAAGTATTACATCATCAGCATGAAATACTGTTGAAAAAAATAAATGAATCATGATTAATAATTTATATTATTTAACAAGAATTGAAAATGAAGTGAAATGGATGCTTGCCATCGCTGCTTCTACCGATGATGATGATGATGATCATCATCATTTTGTATAGCTTGAAGCTCGACAGTAGAAACAACGAGAATTACAAAGGAAAAAATTTTTTTTGTCATCATCCTGATGATGATGATGATGAAAGTAAATAGCTTCTAGGCTTCAAACAACATACATACATCACTAATTGATTGAACAATTTTTTTTTTCATGAATTCATATCCGAAATCAATTGAAATAGAAGTTGAAGAACAGAATTGATCAGTAGTGATTCATTTCGATACTTTTTTCAGTTTTTTTTGATTCAAATAACAAACATGTGAATATTGTTTTTACACGACAAATGAATGAATGAATGAAAAGAAAATTTTTTTTCTTCCTCCATCATCATCATCATTATCATTATTTCAATCATACATTCAATGTAAATATTTGCTACGAATTTCTCGCTCTCTCTCTCTCTCTCTCTCTCGCTCTGTTATTCTTGTCAAATTTTCCAATGAGAATTCATTCAATAGGTAAACATTCATAATGAATTTATATATGGACACACAATATGTCGCTGTTGTTGTTCGATCCACTTGACAACAAATATCCAAATATTGAATACTGTAGAATCTCTAGAATACTACACACACACACACACACACACACACACATTTTATTTGATAATTGGCTTGATTAGTGTATGTGTGTGTGTGTTTTTTGTGACGAAAAAAAAACATGAACCAAAATTCTCTAGAATAAAAAAAGGTAAATAGATTTGGAACAATTTTTTTTTTGTTTGTTTGTTTGATGTGTGTGTGTGTGTGTGCTAATATTATAGATTTTTTTTTTTTGTTTCATTCTCACTCGCTCTCTGTAGTTTTGTCGTCTTTTAACAAGATTTCGATTTTCATTTTCGGTAACAAACTTGTCATCATCATCATCATCATCTATTTGATTGCACTTGTAGTTCTTCTTCAAGGCTTTTTTTGTTGTTGTTGTTGTTGTTGTATATTGAATATCACCAATATCACCTTCATCCCCTCCCCACTTTCCACCATTTCTGTCAGATTATTATTAGTAGTTTGACGATAGAGGACAAGATCGTTTTGTTTTTCATCATTTTCAATTTATTAGTCTCGTGTTTTTTTGTTTTGGTTCAGTCCACATTTCACAATTTTTTTTGTGAATCTTTTTCTTTAATGTTTGTCGACTATTTTAACACAAAGGAACAGAACAAATTGTAATTATTATTTGGTTGATCATGCCAAACGATTATTATTGCAACAACAACAAAAAAATTAAAACACACCCACACACACCATCAGCAATTGTAAAATTTGGATCGATCCTTGAATCCAAACAACAACAACAACAACAAAAATGAAATGAAAGATTATGCTAATGAAGATTTGAATTGCAAAAAAAAGCTCGAGGCAAGAAAAATGAAATTTGTTGTGATCATCAAACAAGAATTTTTGACAAATGTAACCATCACATGTGTCATAATAGCAGCTGCATTTTTTTTGTTGTTGTTGTTTCGGTTACATTCACGAATACAGAATTCGATTAAGGTCAATGATGATGAGCGAAAAATATTTGTAGTGGAAATAAATACAGAATAGATAGATGTTCAATTGCTTTATGAATCGATTCGATTCAATTTTTTACCAGCTCAATAGATTCACATAGATTCGTAGTTTTATCTTTGTCCAAACAGATATCCAGATATATTTGGTTTAGTCCAGATTCAGTTGTTGTTGTTGTTGTTGTTACTGTTCACAAATCATCATCGAAATATATACATTGATGACAGAAATATAGATAGAAAGACACGTGAATCCGATTCCAATGAATTGTCGACAACAAGGCGTGTGTCATTAAAACATTTAAATCGATTGAATGAGCTAATTTTTGTGCAAGTGTGTGTGTGAGTGTATGTTTGTGATCCACCGGATTTGGATTTTTTTGGTTCGATTATGATTCCATCACTCAATGCATTATTGGTGAAGAACAAGTGGATTTTTTTTTCTGGCAAATAAACGACAACAACAACAGAAATGACGATGATGATGTCATTGAATTTTCCATTCCAAAAGAATCAATTAGAATCCATACAAAATCGTCAAAGAACAAATTCGACAACTATAAGTGTATTATTAGTATATACCAAATTCAATGGAACGAAATTCTCAATGTTTTTTTTCCACGTTTTCATTCACCAATACGAATTTTAATTATTCCATTTGGAATAGAAATTCTGAGTCATCATGAATAAACATTTTCAATAAACAGAAAGACTTATCATCATCATCATCATCAGATTTATTTTCATTGTATATAAATGAATGTCAATCATAATCATGCAAAAATTAACTCTAATGACCAAGTGAATGACTGGATATACCAAATGAAACAGCACACATACAGACACACACACACACACACACACACACACACAACTATTTAGTATATGATGATGAAAATTTTGTGTAATCTGATTTGACATCAGTCATCATTGAATATTATTATGACATGAATGATTTATCAAGAAAAAAAAGTGGACCCAGATTGCAAATTATCAGTGATGAAAAACAAACGAAAAATAAAAAAATAAATTCCGACATGAATTTGATTCGATTCATGTCAAATAATGAAAGTGATGAACTGTGTTTGTGTGTGTGTGGAAATGTGGAAATTGAAATAACAGCAGCAGCAGCAGCAGCAGCAACAACAACAACAACAAAACCGATTCTGAAACGACCATTGAATTTAATTGTGTTTTATTTTAGGCAATTTGATCCAATTTTTTTTCCTTTCACAATGATGATGATGATGAGTCAACTGACATAAATTATGAAATGCGTGTGTGTGTTCGTTTTCACAGCACGGTAACTTTATTTATATTATTATTATTGATGCAAAAAAAAACACGTGGTACGTGCCAAATTGCCTATTTTTATTACAGTATGATACCCGAACGGACGAGCCAAACATACACATAAAACGTTATACTGAAGAGAGTAGTAATTCAAATTAGTTTTCCAATGGTAAGCAATTTTTCTTTTCGGTTCAATTGAGCCGGTTATTCGTTTTTTTTTCTCGTTTCTGACTGTTAACTACGATGATGATGATGATGATGATAATAGTGGACCCGAAATCAAATAATGTTCGGATCTGCATGACTCACACACTTTTAATGCACACATGATTCTTACATTTCAAAGGTCAATTTTTTCTCATTGGTTAATAATGAAAATTTTTCAAAAAAAAAAAAAAAAAATTCTATTTGGACCATCGATGATGACGATGAATCATTGATGTGATAAATTATTGTTATTATCAACTTTTTATTATTATTACCATGGCCCAAATGAACAATTAAAAATTTTGAACAAATTGAACGTGATATATAAAACGAAAAACGAGAAATTTGAGAGTGAAAAAAAAAACTTTCCGAAATGACTGAATGCCTGTTTTTTTTCTCGGGAAATTTTCCTTATCATCTTTACATCTTTACATTCACACCTATGCAGTAGAAAAATAAAAAAATTTCAGCCATTTGAATGACATGAAATTATCATAAAAATGTGAAATAGACTGTCGTAGGAATTGGATTTTCTTTTTTCTTTGTTGTTGTTGTTGATCATCATCATCGTCATCATAAGTGAATTTGATTGACAAGCACGCGACTAACTCGATATTCTAGAGCGCGAAAAAGAAAAGAATTTGCATATTTTGCTAATTTTTCTTCTTCTTTTTTTCTTTTTTTGCATATTTCACTGACACTATGAAGACAAAAATACACTACTACTACACACACACACACTTAACAGAATAAAGAATTCAAAATGAATGATTCGATTGAAATTGAAACATTAGATTTTCAATCTCTAAAATAACCATTTGAAAATTCTGTATTTGGAATTACAGAATGAACCAACAGAAAAAAACCACTCGACGCCTTGTCAGCAAATTGCTAGCAACAACAACAACAACAACGAAAAAAATCCGGAAAAGAATCCTTACGAATGCAGATATTTGAGAAGCCAAAAAAAAATAAGAAGAAAAATGATTTTTGTTTCTCTCTCTCACAATCTCTCTTTTGCTTCAATTGGTTTCTGTATTTGCAAAAAAAAAAATTTTTTTTATCACAATTTCGATCCAAAATAAATAAATATAAATGGTTTTTCATTGAAAATTCATTGAACCATACATTTGAATTGTGTGATGTTCGAATGATGATGATGAATCAAACGAAATCATGGAATGCAAAGAAGTTTGTCAAAATAAAATCATCGACGAAATAAGGAATTTTAGAAATAGCAAGAATTTTGTTTTCTTCCCCATTTATACACGCGTTAGCAACCATCATGATCATCATGATCATCATCAGCATTTGTTTATGACCAAAACAACGCTTGTCAAAAATTCATTGAGATTGAGAATGAAAATGAAAAACTGAATGAGATGAGTAGATCAATGATGATGGTATGGTTTATATGGTTTTCAATGTCACAATGTGTGTGTGTTGCTGTGTGTTCATTATTAAACTAAATAATAAATGTACTGAAACTCATGTCATTGAGTTGAAAAACAATCACGTTAACAACAACAAAGAATCGAGAGAGAGAAAGAAAGAAAGAAAAAAAATTCAAATCAAAATCAAATTCATTCAGTAATGTTTTTGTTTGTGTATTGAAAAAACGTGGATACAAGATCAAATTAAAAATTCTTTCATGTTTATAATGGAATTATAATGGAAATAATACGACAACAATGGATCAATGCATTGTTTGTGTGTGTGTGTGCCAAAGAATTTCAGTCAAAACAAAACAAAAAAAAATTCGACCATTTTCAAAATGAAAAACAACAACAACAACAACTTGGAACTTATATAGATTCGTAAGTCGATTAGAATATTCTGAAGAAAAATAAAAAT